CTCGTAGATGTGAGCATCCCAGCCGATAACAACCTCCAAGAGAAGACCAGGGAGAAGCTGGAGAAATACTCCGAACTGAAAGTGGAAGTGGAACAGTTGTGCGGAATGAAGACTACCATAGTTCCGATCATCATAGGCACAACTGGCGTCGTCCTGAAAGACCTCAAAGGACATGTCAGGAAGCTGGAGTGTGAAATATCACTGGATATCCTCCAGCGTACAGCAATCTTGGGCACGACCAGCATACTCACCTAATTCTGAAGGACACGGCGAAGGATGTCCATTGGCATGCATATGCTTACTATGCATAAACCCGATGCATGCATCCCAATTAGCCTACATCAATTAAACATCCCAAGAGCTCCTTGAAATTACCTCCAGAGATCTCATCTTGGCACTACCTCTCAGTTAGACTCTCAAAAACGGCCCTATAACGAAGTGGCTTGAGGGAGAGGAAAGGAAATAGGCGCCTGCAATGACACCGCCATCTTCGGGTGTTTGGCAAGTTTGCTCTGCTTTACCTCATCCCACGACCTCAAACTTCGCCTGATTTTTCTGCACTATTTGAGGGGGGGGGGTTCTATCACGTTTCATGAGTAAAAGCCTTCCAGGTGACCGTTTCGGGTGATTGGTATAACACCATAGCTGCTATTGAAATTGAAGTGTTTAGCAAGTGAATATCTCGATGAATATATCCTACAGCCTGAAACGTTAATTTTGGGTAAGTTATAACTAAAAATAAAACCAAATCACATCACCCTTCCATGCTTCGCCGGAGTGATTAAAAAAAATAAACTTCTCCAACGTGGAGGCTGCTAAGTTGGCAGCTATTGGTAAAGGGGGAAAAGAAAATGCGTTCGTGTTCTGTGTGGTACAGGATTTCCAATGTTCTTCAGAAGGATGTGGTTCTAATAGCCGACCACAGCAGGCATGCTTTGTCAGCGGAAGTAGGTATCTTCTGCTTGTAGAGTAACACGAGATGTTATTCCAAGCACAGGTAATAAGTAAAAATCTCCGAATAAACGCCATTGATATATTCGCTGGCTTCATCGCACTAACATTCAGTCTAGCTTCAAGATCACCTACTTCATCCGTCACTCAGTGTTTTCCAAGGTGGGAAGACACCATTCAGGAAGACACCAGAAGCTGTCTTTAACCTCTAATACGCGTATAATGGCACTAGGTCATGGACAAGTAGGCCTATTGCATAGAGGGATTAAAATGATTAAATCATAGTGAAGTAAATTTCCTTGAACCGAATCACGTAGCTTTGGTCATATTGTTCCATATCCACACTTTTTTTGGCGTCGAAAGTGAACCCTCGCCAGTGAATTTTCTCTATAGGGAAAATGCGGAATTCACTTCATATAAGGTTTGCTAAAGAATTGTAAAACACGATATTTCAAGCCTAATGGATATTAGAAGGAAGACTACCAAAATGCATTTTAACAGTGCGCTCACGTCTACTACGACCTCCGTCTTGGCAAAATCACATGAGGACACACCAACTCCAAACTGCAAACTATACGAAGCCAATATGCAATGTTTTGCAAGCGAATTCGTTCCACCTTCAACGTTGCGCATTTGTACTCTGCAGCATCCAATGCGGTGGCGAAAAAGGTCCAACTATGGTTCTCATTTCGGAGGATAGATGTCGGGCACCAACATCAATTATCCAATTATCATCAGTCAGTCGATAGCTGTCGTACAGCAAGGACGACAGCGCGCGGCCAGTATGAGAGATTACACGAGTCAATAAGACACAGGATCATTGTCAAGAACCAGGCATACACATTGACTTCTCGAAACCTGAATGTCAAGTATTCGACAGCAACAACAAGCCTAGGCATTCCACAATACAGAAAGTGAAAAGGAGAGAGGACATCAATGGATGAAGCTGTCTCCAAATTAACAACAGACACTCGTTGACCTGCTGAGAAATGATTTTGACAATGAGTGCTCATAATGTCTAAGCTGCATCCCATACGCTTAACATAGAAAAGATACAGAACTTTTTTTTTAAAGCTTAAGGTGAAATGCGACTGAAAGGCAAGACAGGATTAAATATATTCACCGAGTGGGAGGTGCTCACAAATAAAAAATTCAAAATGGTTAATAATTGATGTTTTCATTTTTGTGGCATAAGAAAGAGCAAAATGAGAGCTAAAAATGACACATAGAACATTTCTGTAGCTCAATTACGAGTGAACTCATGGCATTTTATCACAACACTTCGATTATATCACAACATTATCACAATACATACCATAAATGCCTCAGCAACACCAAAATCACATCACTTTTATTATGCTTCATTAATATTTTATTTTAGTTTCCCTCCTCCTTGACACCCCACAATTTCCTCTTTCTCCCCACTACCCTATATACGTGTAAAACATTTCTCCTGTATTCGGTCGTGTGGCCCTTCCCACTTCCTTCAGTATTCTTCTCCTCCTATTCCCTTACGC